ACAGACTTTCCATCCAACAGACTAATTATATTCAGGACATTTATGGGCAATTCTCCTCTTCTGTTCTGAATAAAATACCTGAGATTTCCAATAAATAAATTTAAAAACTTTGGTCTATTAAACATCTTTGTTCTGATTTCTACATCTTTAGCAAGTACAATGAAAACTTTTCATAGCAATTCAGATGAGCCAATTAAGTTTCCAGTTACAGAATATAAATACTATGGCACCCAAATAAAGAACAATTAAAGTACTGAAATGATAGGTATTATCTGTAATAAACAGATCATTTAATAACAAATGCCAAAGTAAAATAAAACAAACCCCCCACAACTCACCTGTCTGTGAGTGGCTGGGAGGGGACTCGTTTACCTAATGATGGAAGATCCAAAGAATCTGGTTTTTTGTCTATTCTGAGGCACGCCTGGATGCTGAGGAATTTAAATATATGTACTTTACCCTTTAAACATATCTGTTGGGAAACAAATGAACAAATAAAAATCTTAATTACATTGCATGTCTTTGGAAAATACACCCCAAGAAACACTTTCTACACTGCATTTGTACCCACAACTTCCCAGCAGGAGCCCAAAAACAGGAAAACTTGATTGGTATAACTTAGAACAGCTTCCCCTAAGATGATAAAGCAAATTTCTGTACTAGAATACTTCAATACTAACCTGTGCTGGTGGTATCTGCATTGGATTGTTATCCAAAAGTATAACTTGTAAGTGACGTAACTTTCTGTAACAAATTGGAATTTCTGTAATTTTATTACACGAAAAATCCAGCTTTACCAAGGGAAGGTCCCCTAGTTCTGCACTCAGGAAAACAAACAAACAGAAAAAAAAGGCATTAGTTATCTTCTTAATACTTCACCTAATTTACCTACATCAATGGAAAGAAGATGAGTAGCTTACCATCTGGCAGCATATGGAGATTGTTTCTTCTTATGTTCAATTCTCTAAGTGACTGCAATTTTCCTATTTGCTGGGGAAGGACCTGAAGTTCATTACAGCTAATATCCTAAGAAAGACATAATTAATACATCAAGTGAACATCTTAAATGAAATTTCACAAAGGAATACTGCTATCAAAACTATGGTAAAAGAAAAATCCCAACTCCTTGGTTTTTCCACAGAGAAGAGGTACCATAACAGATATCACTGTTTCTTCTCTATTAATGATTCATGTTTCAGAGATTCAATTCAAGAAGTCACATCAATGAATGATGAAATACTGGTTTGAAGATTAAAACTGCAGACTATGAATCACGAGTTCCCGGTGTAGTTCCTGTATCAGCTACAAACTTCTTGTGCTACTGCTGGGACTGTCATTCTGCTCCTGTTCTAACAACTCTTTTTTCCTTAGAATGCCTTCAGCCAACCCAGACAACTAAAGATTTACAGAGAGCAACAACAGGCTCACCAACTTTTTGGATAAAAGCACTAGAGGGGTGACAAAGCTGCACCAAGTGTACACAGACTACAGCTATTTCTGACAGTAATTAAACATTAATTTATGTAGACCAGAGGGATTAAACAATCACATTGCTAAGAATCTTTCTAAACCTTTTGAATTCTAAACCAATAAAACAGAATTCTGAGAATTCTGGTTTTCCTAGACAAGACAACAGAGAGATATATCTGTCTGATGAAAACCTGGAAGTCGATTTTAAAGGCAAGCCTAGTCAGCAACTAAGCCAGGCCTTAAGAGATGAATCCAGGCCCCTTCATTACACACTTGCAGAGCTTCAGCTTAAGGGCTGCCCATTGCTTTTGGCAACCATGGTGCCTGCACATGGCTGGGGGTCCCAGGAAGCACAGGCTGCTTGGGATGCACCATCATTGCAAGTTCTTTGTCCATGTCACCACAGCTGAGATGGGATTCCCTTCATAAAAGCACCTTTCGAGCACAAGGCGTAGTCAAACTTTTTTTTAAAATGTATAAAATATATTCTTATGTCCTAGACAGGTACTGGAATGAAACTCTCTCTAGTATGTCCCTAATCTGCATCATCAAGGATGCATTCTAGGTTTGACAATTCTGAAAAATAAGCCCAAAATACCACAACTGCAACCATGAAAAACATTCACTTCCTATAAACAAAAGCAGTGATGACACCTTGAAATCCTCTGACATTGAAGGGAGCACAGGGAATGTCTCACCAAAGAGTAAAGGACACAAGAAAAGCCTCACGAATATTCTGAATGTCTCAGAGTACTTGTAAGTTAAAAAAGAATGTTGATTTATAGCTTAGACATAAGATCATATTAAAAGACTCTCCACAGAATACACAGCTACTGTGGAAACAGGATAAGGACAAGGATGCCTTGCAATGACTACAGAAACCATACATATTTTAAAAAAATTAAATAAATAAATTAAAAAAAAATCAGACCCAGTGCAAGTGCCAGGTCAGTGAATGACTCTGCACAGTTCTCCAAAACACAGGAGCTTAACAGGGAGCAATGATCAGAAAAGCCAAAATATCAAAAAAGTGATGGATGACAAAGCACAAAATCTTAGTGTGCCACGTGTTGCACAGATTGTGAATATTGCTTATCATTCCATTCACCCCAAACAAAATAAAGAGCAGAAATGTCGGGGGGGAACCAACCCACAGAACAAGATAACAATGACTGAAGGACACAACTTGTATCAGAATACAGAGATGAACTCTTCAGCTGGAAATAATATTCCTGATAACATACAAAACAAATAAATAGAATTATGACTACTGTAAAGAAGGTAAACAGTAAAATTCATCATTTTTAACAACATACAAGCAAGGGACTCAAATGAAATCATCGCCAAAGCAATTTTATTTATGAAATCATCTCAAAAGCAATTTTATTTATGAGCCCCTCCCTTAAGCTTTAGTTGACCCAACATATTGATTTCTGTTTAACCTTATTTTTGAGATACAATATATTTTACCTTTAATTTCATCTCAAAACCCAATAAAACACAGTAACTGAATTTCAATTTTGTAGTTCCGTATTTTAAAAATATTAATCTATAATTATACTGAAAATACACTGCTTATAAGTTTACTTTAAGTATAAAGATTCACAATTGTACTTACCAACTCCATCAGATCTCTCAACTTCCCAATTTCCTCTGGAATGGAGACCAGCTTGTTATTACTGACAACCAGAACTTTCAGTGGAAGATCAAACAGGTATTTTGGCAACGTCGACAAAAGATTTCGACTTGAGAGAAAGAAAAAGGGACAAGCAAGGCTGGATTATAATCTCCTTTTTCTAAGCCTTAAAGGGAGTCTGAGATGCACATTGCACAACTTTTCTCCCATGACAGAAGACACTCTCCACCTATTATGACTTCATTTACATTTCAGCTACAATCTCCCCCAAGAATTCCTCACCAGATACAGCCTCTCTCAGGTATGTGAACTTTAGGTCCCAATTCTGCTTGATGAAATGAGTATGTGCTAGGAGAGAATCTAATGCTGAAATGTGCAGAGAAATCTGTTAAAAAAATGATGTTTGACATCACATGTATCTGCTTTGTACACATAAAATACACTCTTACCCACTATTTGATTTAAATCCATATGGAAAAAAACACCAACATTCTTGGACTGCCACTGTCAGAAAGACACCAAGTTTTTCTAATAAGGTACTTGTAAATTTAATAGAAGTCACTGGAAAATAAGGTTGTTCAGGTATGGTATGAAAGCAATTCCTTTCACGTAGAAAAGTAAAATAAAAATAAAAAAAACCAGTACTTGCTGTTGATTTAAGTAGAACTAATTCTATTTTTGACAAAAAATAATTTAAGTGCTGATATTTGTGTTCACACAACATTATGAAAAAACTGGAAGTTTCAGTGCTTAACTGAAATTCAGGGAACTGTTTTCCTATTAAAAAAAAACCCAAGGCACTGTTTTCCTATTAAAAAACCCCAACCTTTTTAGATTATGTTCTCCATGACTGCAGTTTATAGGGCTGCAAAACCAACAAAAATAAATTTATGTCCTTGCCACATTTCAGCTTCAAAGACAGACTGCAATTTTTATACCACAAAATGAAACTTCCAGCAGTATCTCTATGAAAGCAATGTATTATTCTGTTAATTCTAAGTGAACACAAATAAGTTTTTGATATAGGTATGCGTTAAGTCTCTTTTTATGTTGTATTTCAGGCAGATATGCCAGGCTTTTTTAGTTGGAGAGCATAAGAATCAAAAATATAATGTGCAAGTGCATTTTTTTGAATGGATTATAAAAACGTGGCAATGAAAGTCGCTCCCTGTGCCACTTCAACAGATTTCCTCCTTTTTTTTGGTTTGGGTTTTTTTTAGGAGTTGCCTGCTTTACTATGAATTGCACAATACATTTTTTCCACCATCTGAATCCAAAATTAGAATTTAGGATCATGTGGTTTTCTTCTGTAACAAAGCACCTGAAGCAGCAGGGCAGGATTTGAGCCTGTTCCCCAATCCCACAGCCCACGTGTTCCTGCACTGGGAAAACAGGCCCTGGACGTGAGCAGAGACAGACAAAGCACAGCTGGGAAAAGGATGGTCAGGAGAGTCGACTCTTGAAAGAACATGCAAAGCTCAGTCAGAACTACAAACCTTTTCTGTGCAAAGAAATGAATTCAGCACCTCAGACACCATCAAAAGAGAAATGGGCTGCTGTTGAAGGAAGTTGGGCCAAATTTCCTTCAGAAAATGCTGCAGTTTTAGATCATATTAAGCCTCTTTGGAATTGCCACAGAGCACATCACGCTTGAATTATCACTCTGAGGACTGATATTTGCACATTTTGAGACACAGCAGGTTTCAGGGATTTAAATAGCTCTTAACTGAGAAATCTGTTTTGGACTTGATGTAGTCAATACCAGAAACAAGGAATATTGTGGAAAACAAGGTCAGGTGGGTTCTTTTAGATTCCCTCTCCTTCCAGAGCTCGTATCCCTCTTCTGTTCCGGTGAGAAGATCCAACCATATGTTTTCCAAGTTTAAAAAGAGCAATACAGCAGTGGATGTAAAGAATGCTCTTGAGAGCACTGAGTTTTTACACCTGTAGTTTCTGAACACTGTCTGCATAACATCAAAAACAGACTCAATGCAAACATCAGTGCAAACTCAATGACCTGGTGAAGTAAAAGGTCAACTCCCCAATGAGATAAGTTATATAGGATCAAAAATAACCACCATTACTCACCTAATGTTAAGGTAGGTGAGCATTTGCAGGTTTTTAATAGATTCTGGAATGGATTTGATGCAGTTGTGATACAAATTTAAAGTTTCCAGTGGTGCAAATAGCCAGACATCAGGAGGAATTTCAGTAAATCTGTTCTTTGAAAGATCTACAAGCAAAGAAAAAAGAAAAAATCCTTTTTTAGTCAAAATTTTCCCTGCAGTAAGAGGAGATAAAAGTACTCACTGATATTCTTGTCATGCTCCTAAAAATTAAGGTGTTGCAAGAAGTGTAAAATAATTCAGTTTTAGCAGATGCTACTGCATATAATTAATACACAAAAGAGACTTAAGATACTAAAAGATTATTGCTTAATATGCAATTACAACAGAAAATAGAAGAATGACAGGAATTCAAAAATACATTTCCCACTACACAGTTACATTTACAATGACACTGAATATCAACTAGGCTTGTCCCTCCTCTATCAAGTCTTTGTTCTGTGCAGTTCTGGGATTTCTTCCCCTCCAACTCCAGGAACAACAGTAAGTCAAGGTACAAACCCAGCCCACGTTATTTTTCCTGTTTGACAGCTACATCAGAATCTAATGTCATTGTACAATATATCTGCAATGCTAAAGCCAAGTTCCCCAGAAAGCCTTACCATTTATTTTAAGAACTAAATTCTCATCTAAAAAATATTCTTTATTGCAGGCACAATAACTGGGACTTTCTCCAGCTACATATTTATGATTTAGCTAAAGAGAGGATAAAGTTGCAAAAACCAATTACATATAAAAATCAGGATGCAATTTAGCCTTGCCTAAAAGCAGCAAGAGGAGGTATCTTTGACAACAGAAACGGAATACTTGAGCTAGAGTTATTCTGACAATGCATGACTGCATTATGCAAATCTGCATGCAGAAGTTAGGACAAACCAGCACATTACCAATATACACAGCACCTCTGGCTGCCTTTGAAAAGGTCCAGAAAATATAAATGAGATGTGACCTAAGAATCCTGGAAATTATCAGTTAACCACCAAAACCTGTATCATCAGAAGTCCCCCAAACTACCTGGGAAGACCTTTACTGGAGATATTTACTGGAGAACAACTGTCTGCTCTTCTGAAAGTAACTGGTTCCCAACCCAAGATATTTCAAAAGGATGTGGTTTCTCAGAAATGCTGAACAAACTCATTTAACAGAGAAGCAATACAGATCCCTTGCTATTTCAGGCTTTAGTTCTCAGTTTTTAACACTCATGGAATAACTGCGTGTCTGCTCAGCTCCCATCACATTAGCATCTGAACAAACAGATAGTTCTGCAAAAAGTCTAGAAAGCAGTTGGAAAAGTGACTCAAAGACACTGTCAGGCTCAAACAGAGTTCAACAGCCTGACAAACCAGCCATGAGCAGCAGCTCTCTCTAAAAGTACCTGACAGGAGGTTGGAGCCAGGTGGGGGTCGGGCTCTTCTCCCAGGAACCAGCAGTAGGACAAGAGGGGATGGTCTTAAGCTGCCAGGGGATGTTTAGGTTGGACATTGGGAAGAAATTTTTTACAGAGAGAGTGATCAGACACTGGAATGAGCTGTCCAGGGAGGGGGTGGAGTCACCATCCCTGGAGGTGTTGAAGGTGCGAGTGGATGTGGCATCAGTGCCATGGGCTGGGAACCACAGCAGGGTTGGATCAAGGGCTGGACTTGACAATCTCAGATGAGTCTTTGATTCTATGATCACCTTCCAGTGGCAGTAGCCTCAATTTTATTTCTTGAAGTCTAGAATATGTGACATTTTGTGACCTAACTGGTTGCCACTCCATCATTTCTAAGAAACATTCTCAAGCTGAAGTATCACCAAGTCTTATAGATCAAGGCATGCTCTGCTGATGCTGAACTCTGCAAAAATAAAGTTAACTAAAACTGAACATCCCAACTAAAACACTTATTAAAAAAATTAGCACAGCTTGAGAAAGTTTTCACAATCGGTGAGGTTTGTTTTCTGTTTCCCATCGCATCAATTTTCAAAATGTTACAGAAAAATAACAACTTTCACATGAAAGTTTTCTGCAAAACCTCTTTTAGTTCAAACAAATGCTCTCTTGTTCTAATATTCAGCAGATTAAGACAACTGCATGCAGAAAAGATGTACAGTTTTATTGCTTGCAGGGTTCTACAACCTCCACCACAGGATGAACAGCCTTTGATACAACCCCATTCTGAAAAAAACAGCTCTAAGCCTCTTCCTGATTTGGTTTTCGCAGCAGCTGCAAAGGGAACTGAAGTCTAGCACAAAACACAGATGACAGAATCCCACCCTACTGCCACCAACCCCAAGAGCAGCACTGTAGGTTATATTTGAACTGGAAGACTCCTGGGCACCACGAAAACTTTGCTGCTGTATTTGCATCCAGCCACATCTCAGCCACACAGCTGGGTAAGAGACAGGTTAAAAACCAGCTTTGCTGTTTCTTCTGCAGAAACAAAACCCAGAGGCAGGACAGACAACGACTACAGGATGCACCAACTGACTGCTCTGGGAGTGAGTGGCCCAGGGGTGCAGTACTCACCAGGCAATACAAACCAGCTGTGGTTTCCAGCTTGGCCTGACAAAAATCCCATTGGCACAGTCTGGTTGAAGCCCCTCAGTGCACCCTCCTACAAAACCCACACAACTTCACAGTAGGAGCAAACACATACCAAGCTGACAATATTTGTGTATTACTGTAGAAACCACTTTGCTGAAAACAATGCTTTTTGTTGCCCTGCTGTGGGGCAGGGATTACACTTTTCTGTTATGAAACCCAGAAGTCCTATTAAAATAGGAAATGGTATGCACTGTCTGTCAATAATAAAATAAAAAGGTAAATAAAGGGATGGGAGATTGCCTGACTTCTCTGCCAAGCATTTTTTCATTCCAAAGCAGTATTAAAATAGTCCCAGGGGTTCAGATTTTTCTAAGGAGAAAGATTCAAGTGTCTATGGTTTTCCACAACATTCTCAATTGAATGTACTTACAGCTTTTTAAAAACAAGTAATGCTATTTTTAGCCAAACTAAAAAATTGTTTCTACTCCAAAAATATTTTCACAACAAGCAAAAAGTTTGAGATTATATTGTCTATTATGCTAGATAAAATGTAAATGTGAAGCTTATGCAATTTAGGTATTTTTTGAAGACTAAAACTACAATGGATGGCCAAGAAAACATGGTAAGAAACTTTTGGAATAGAGTGTTCCTCTATAAACAAGACAGACTTCCAGTGAAATGAGAAAATGAGAAATCATCTCAACTGAAATATAAGCAAGCTGCTGGCACTTGAGAATGGTTTTGTAAGGGTTAATAGACTGGAGAAGCAAGGAAAGCTGCTAAATGCAGAACCACAGATGATTTAAGATGACAACTCCTCTAGAAGTGAGATTATAGGAATCCTTTGCTTAACCAGTTTAGGCTGGAAAACTCTCAGTGGGAGTGTTATGTGACAACTAAATAGAAGACACTCTCCATGCCTGCTCATGGATCACAGGGTATTTCAATCCACTATCTCTGCAGGAACAATAAATGTGAGAACTACACCATTACTAAGGTTAAATTTTAAAAGGGAACTAGAAAAATATGAAGAAGTTGGCTGCAGCTGGTTTTTTTGACAGAAGAAGGTAATGTCTTTACTGACTGTAAGACAGTGACTAAAAGAAAATATACTGAAAGATCAAAAGGAAAGAATTTTAGGAAATCAGTCAGCCTGGAAGGGAAGCTATTAGAAATAAGAAGCTATCCTGTATAAATTTAAGCCATGATCAAAAGGAAAAACAAAAAGCTCAAGCTGTCAGGTTACAGCAGTGTGCAGCAAGGTAGTTAAATAGTATTAACATGCCATTTGCCTTGGGTTTGCACTTTTCCCTAAGCATTCATTACTGCTTACCACCAGAAACATGCTGATAGAACAGACTGGCCTTTTATTTAAACCAGTACAGTCGTTTTATATTCACACTTTACACACACAGCATGTTGCATTTGAAAACAAGGCTTAGCTGAGAAATTTACACTTGAACCTCCCCTTGATATTGTAATATTTTTCATAAAAATATGCTGCTGATCCAGGATATTGGTGTTAGGCTTTGTTTGCTCAAAATGCTTCAAAACCTTATTTAGAAACCAGATTAAATAAACCCACATCCCCCACGGTGCAAAATCCAGAACTGCTCTCCTAACTTGTCACACATACACATTTTCCTAGCCAGCTTTTCTAGCAATGCTTTAGTCTAAGCCAACCAAAGTCTAAGCCAAAAACATCTAAGCACAACTGTAACTATATAATTAGTTCTACAGAAGTCAATGGATGCACAAAACCAAACATTCAGACCTCATCCCAAAGATACACTTTCAGCCAATCTAAACATAAATCTGAGATCACCACAGAGAACATGGATAAAACTTATCAGTCTGTCATGGATGAAGGTTCTGGAAAAGAAAAAACTAGTCTCAACCAGAGACACTACAGAAACACCTGCATGGGTTAATTCCAGTTTCTGATGTGGTATTTCAGCACAGAATATCTACATAGTCTAAGAATTAGTCTTTGGTGTAATCACTAATATTTGTTTCTATCTTCTTTTAATCTTCAAAAAATTCATGGAAATACTATACAAGTACAAAAAAAAAAGGAAAATTTAAGCAAATCGGTCTTTTCAAACTCTGCTAATGCTTGAGGCTCTTCTCCAGTTTGTTGAGAAACTAAGAATGGCAGGAAGAGATCTGCCTCCCATTACCAAGCACAGAAATGGCACTTAGCATGAAGAAACCAATTTCACTGTTTATGTAACAAAGCTTTCTTCAGTCAGAGGATGACATAACTGAGGCTTTTAGGACAATCCAGAAAACCCACTTCAGAAAGACTGAAATATCTCTGGAGATTCTCAAAAATCAGCTGCACAAGGCCCCAAGCAACCTGCTTTCCCTGGACTTGTTCCCATCAGGAGATTGCCCCAGATGACCTTTGAAGGTTTCTTTCAACCTGTGTAATTACAGGATATAAAACTGTAGTTTGTTTGCATTACAGGAATGTAATTATCTTATCACTGTTTGGGTAATTCAATTATCAGTTCCTGATGAGGGTAAAGAGAAAAACTAAAGATGCATTAAAAGAGCCAAGTGTGAGTCTCCCCACTTCCT